TTCCTCATCCGAAGGAACCCAGTCCTCGTCCCTGGGATCTGACAGAGACTTTCTACATGTAAAGCTCTGAACTCCTATTGTCGTTTGACATAAATGTCAATTGTCTGTACATGTAGCATCCAATATTATAAAAATATATTTTCAAGTAAACATTTATATCTTTTAAAAAGGTTATACTTTTTTTAGTAGGGCTTCACTGTCACTAATATGGAGTTTTCCTCTTCTCTCCCACATGAGAACTATTCTCATAGTGTCATCTTGCGTACTCTTTCCTGTAGGAGACATAAATTATTAGAATTTAAATACTGCAGAGCTCTTAATTCGAGATTATTATCAGGCATACACACAGTTGTTTTAGATTTGTTGTGTTGTAAAACCGATACTCTTTGCATTGAAATAAACTAAGTTAATTAACTCTGGTAGACAGAACTCAACTCAATTTATTTACTCTGGTAGACAAATATCCAGCTCCAAAGCAATCCGTATCAAGTGTAAAAAAACAATTAGGCATCATCACCTAGCTGTCACCTTTTACTGATAACGAACACGAAAGAAACATTCTCCAACCGGACGTTAAACAACATTCAATCAATCAACAACAGCTTAGTCGACATTTATCACATTATTGAGCAGAGACCGACCAATTTGAGGCCTAGACCTCTTGATATCAAGGAATGGAGAGAAAACAAAGAGATATAAATTACTTTTAAATGCTTCTCATTATTGCATTTTTCCGTCTTTTTTACAAACATATTTCAATTATATAAATAAACATTTACGTTTCTTTTTTATAGAAAGAACATTACGTTTTGGCAGGGGAGAACTTCACTCTCCTCAGCCTCTTCGTCCTCATCGGTGAGTTCCTCACTATTTGAAAGTTTATGTAGAGCAATTACTGACGTGATTCCGGTGTTCAATTTAGCTCTCTGATCATCAGATGTTCATCCTTATTTAGTTCCTCTCAAAAACAAGTAACTATTTTAAAAAAGAATGATTGTAAAGCATCATTGGTTAAGGGGATTTAACTTTGTTCGACAGTTTATAAAGGTAAACATATCAGACACTCAAAAATCACCTTTATTCCCAGACTTGAGTTTGAGGAACTGCCCCTTTCCTCTCTTAAATTTGTGGACCTTAATGAGGTGTTTGTCCAACCTCTTTACATAGGAATCAAACTTGGGAACAGGACAACGTTTCAATCTACAATTAAAAGATTAATTTATAATTAGTTAAACCTTTATTATGCCCGTCTGTTTATATCTCCTCTTGCTTTTATCAACTTAAACTAGAGGTACTGTGAGCGATGAGCTCACTAAATGATACCCCCCGCCTCCCATATGGTTATAACTGGTGAAAAAGTCCATGTTTTCCTGTGGCCGGGAAACCCAAAATATGTGTCGGATCAAAAAGTAAAATAGGAGGTGCACAATGGCAATATGTAATAAAGATTCTGTGAAAGTTGCATCAAATTTCATTCAGTGGTACGAGAGGAGTTGCGGATAAGAGATGGGTACCCCAAAGCGAGAGACGGACGGACGGACAGACGGAAGGACGGACGGACAGACGTACAGACGGACGGAAATACCGATTACTATATACCCTCCCGCTTTTCAAGCGGGGGGTATAATAAAGCTGTTGCTTTCCTTTGCATTGTCCTAGACACCTGCCCACTACAAACGCTCTCTCTGTCTTCTTTTTAAGGATAAGTAATATAAACCTATAATATAGGTAATCCATGATATTCATAATGCCATGGTCATGTCTGCCTCTATTATTCTCCGGAAGTCCCTGTCCAAATTAAGTCCATGCTTGATGATTATAGCTGATGGAATGCCGTCTATAAGAACCTCTTTGAGGAACTCTGGGATTGTTTCTTTAAAAATGTGTAGCAAATATTAAGTGAGTAAATCAAGATTTAAAAAAGGGATGACGACACTAGAGATGGGACATTATACCCAACATGTCTCCTCTTGATCCTGGGCCACAGAGATGGTAGACCTCGTCCAGGGACATCTTTTCCCTTTTACTCCGTTTTTCCAGAGGTCCAGTAAAACCCAACTGTAAGGAAATATACAGCAATTCGAGTTCTTGGTTATTATGTGCAGTAGGATACATGGATCGTACAATTCATGTCCCAATGATTCCCTTGTTCTGTTTGAAAGTTTACCTTCTCTAGGGGAGTGCAGCCTCGACAGAAATCCGAGTCAGAGGATAGGAATCTGAGGCTGGAGCCGGAGGAGAGGAATCGGAGGCTGGAGCCGGAGGAGAGGTGTAGAGGAATGTTGTGAAGCCAGTGGAGCCGTAGAAGTGGATTCCTCATCCGAAGGAACCCAGTCCTTATCCATGGGATCAGATGGTCTCTCCTCAAACAGGAGTTCACGCCTCTCCTCATTTTTAATTGATAATGGTAAGAGTAAAATCAAGTAGAAAACATTGAGTGTGTAGATGGTCTGTGTTTTGTTACAATACATTATTGAAAAATATTAATTTCACATTTAAAATTGATTCTTTTTTTTTCTCTGTCAATATTTATTTACATGAATTAATTGAAACATACATTCAACAAACATTTCAAATACAACTTTTTTTTCTTGATTTTCTCGCCATACACCTATCCCTGTCTGTTATTCTTGTCTTAAGAGTCTGTTGGATGGATTCTTTTATTCCCGCCTCATTTAAACTGGAGGAAGTTTTCTTTATTATCCTGGAACACAATGATATTATGACGGCTGTCTCTTACTCACTAAAAAGTCTCCTTCCGAAGGAATATAGTAAAAAAAAAAGTCTATTTACGAGTCGTGCTCAGCTTTAAGTACCAGTAATCATAAAAAAATGATTGTAAAGAATCACTGGTTAAAGGGATTTAAATTTGTTCAATAGTTCTTAAAGGTAAATATATCAGCCATTCAGAAATCACCTTTTTCCCCAGACTTGTATTTGAGGAACTGCTCCCCTCCTCTCTCAAATTTGTGGACATTAAGGAGGTGTTTGTCCAGTCTCTTTACAGAGGAGTCGTACTTGGGAACAGGACAACGTTTCAATATACATTTAAAAGATTGCCTGTCTTGTTATATCTCCTCTTGCTTTAAGGAACTTCAATAACATAAAACTGTGTATTTTAACTTCAATCTTACCTTGTTGGTTGTTGCTTTCCTAAGCATGGTCGAGGATACCTGCCATCCACAATCGCTCTGTCTCTTCCTGATGAGGATAAGTAATTTAAACTTATAATATAGGAAATACATGATATTCATAAAACCATGGTCCTGGAAGGTAATTTCTGCCTCTATTATTCTCCGGAACACCCTGTCCAAATTAATTCCATGCTTGATGATTATAGCTGATGGAATGCCGTCTATAAGAACCTCTTTGAGGAACTCAGGGATTGTTTCTTTAAAAATGTGTAGCAAATATTAAGTGAATAAATCAAGATTTAAAAAAGGGATGACGACACTAGAGATGGGACATTATATCTGACATGTCTCCTCTTGATCCTGGGCCACAGAGATGGTAGGCCCTGTCAAAGGACTTCTTCTTCCTTGCCCTCCAGGTTTCCAGAGGTCCAGTGAAACCCAACTGTAAGGAAATATACAGCAATCCGAGTTTTAGGTTATTATGTGCAGTTGGATACATAGATCGTACAATTCTTGTCCCAATGATTCCCTTATAAACTGGTGTTAGTATGTTTAAATATTGTACTTGCGTTCTAAAATTTACCTCTCCTGAGGGAGTGCATCCTCGAAAGGAATCGGAGTCTGGAGCCGGTCGAGAGGAATCGGAGTCTGGATTCGGAGGGTAAGAACTGGAGGAATGTGCTGAAGCCAGTGGAGCCGTAGAAGTGGATTCCTTATCCGAAGAAACCCAGTCCTCGTCCCTGTGATCCGATAGTGACTTGAACTCTTGTTGTTGTTTAACATAAATGTCAATTGTCAGTACATGTAGCATCCAACATTATAAAAATATATTTTTAAGTAAACATCATATATATATTGTTTTTTGAAAAGTTTATACTTATTTTAGTAGGGCTTCACTTCCACAAATATGGAGTTATCCTCTTCTTTCCCACATGACATCCATTCTCATCGTTTCATCTTGCATACTCTTTCCTGTAAGAAACAAAAAATATTAGAATTTAAATACAGCAGAGCTCTCAATTCGAGATTAGTATCAGGCATACATCTGTTCTAGATTTGATAAATGTTGTATTGTAAAACCTATACTCTTTGCATTGAAATAAAGTTCGTTAATTAACTCTGGTAGACAGAACTCCAACTTCAATGCAATCTGTATCAAGTGTAAAATACAATTAGGCATCCATGATATATATAATACCATGGTCCTGGAAGGCCATGTCTGCCCCTATTATTCTCCGGAAGACCCTGTCCGAATTAATTCCATGCTTGATGATTATAGCCGTCCGGACTGCCTCAGTCCGTGTGATGGAACATTGTTGATCGTATAGAAGGCCTTCTTTAAGAACCTCTTTCGGAAACTCAGAGATTGTTTCTTTAAAAATGGGTACCAAATATTAAATGAATAAATCAAGATTTTAAAAAAGGGATGACGACAACAGAGATGTGATATTATACCCAACATGTCTCCTCTTGACTTTGGGCCACTGAGCTGGTAGGCCTCGTCAAGGAACATCTTATCCCTTGCACTCCGTATTTCCAGAGGTCCAGTGAAACCCAACTGTAAGGAAATATTCAGCAATTCGAGTTCTTGGTTATTATGTGCAGTAGGATACATAGATCGTACAATTCATGTCCCAATGATTCCCTTATAAACTGGTGTTAGTATGTTTATATATTGTACTTGCGTTTTAAAATTTACCTCTTCTGACGGAGTGCATCCTCGAAAGGAATCGGAGTGTGGAGCCGGAGGGTAGGAATTTGAGTGTGGAGCCGGAGGGTAGGAATCGGAGTGTGGGGTCGGGGGGTAGGAATTTGAGTGTGGAGCCGCAGGGTAGGAATTTGAGTGTGGAGCCGGAGGGTAGGAATTTGAGTGTGGAGTCGGAGGGTAGGAATTTGAGTGTGGAGCCGGAGGGTAGGAATCGGAGTCTGGAGTCGGAGGGTAGGAACTCGAGGAATGTGCTGAAGCCAGTGGAGCCGTAGAAGTGGATTCCTCATCCGAAGGAACCCAGTCCTCGTCCCTGGGATCTGATAGTGACATTCTACATGAAAAGCTCTGAACTCCTATTGTCGTTGACATAAATGTCAATTGTCTGTACATGTAGCATCCAATATTATAAAAATATATTTTCAAGTGAACATTTATATATTATCTTTTAAAAAGGTTATACTTTTTTTAGTAGGGCTTCACTGTCACTAATATGGAGTTTTCCTCTTCTCTCCCACATGAGAACTATTCTCATTTTGTCATCTTGCATACTCTTTCCTAAAAGAAACATACATTATTAGAATATAAATACTACAGAGCTCTCAATTCCTAGATTATTATCAGGCAAAAACACAGTTGTTCTAGATTTGTTGTGTTGTAAAACCGATACTCTTTGCATTGAAATAAACTAAGTTAATTAACTCTGGTAGACAGAACTCAACTCAACTTATTAACTCTGGTAGACAAATATCCAACTCCAAAGCAATCCGTATCAAGTGTAAAAAAAAACAATTAGGCATCATCACCTAGCTGTCACCTTTTACTGACCGGGCGTTAAACAACATTCAATCAATCAACAACAGCTTAGTCGACATTAATCATATTATTGAGCAGAGACCGACCACTTTTGAGGCCTAGACCTCTTGATATCAAGGAATGGAGAGAAAACAAAGATATATAAATTACTTTTAAATGCTTCTCATTACTGTATTTTTCCGTCTTTTTTACAAACATATTTCAATTATATAAATAAACATTTACGTTTCTTTAGGTCACCTGAGTAAACTCAGGTGACCTATTGCTATCCGTTTTCGTCCGTCGTCGTGCGTCGTGCGTCGTTCGTCGTGCGTTAACATTTGAACATTTTCAGCTTCTTCTCTGAAACCACTGAACCAATTTCAACCAATTTTAGCATATAGCATCTATGGGTGAAGGGGAACAAAAATTGTGAATTTCATTGTCCCTACCCCCCTGGGGCCTGGGGGGTGGGGCCAAAACCACTAAAATTAGTGCAATCTTTGAAAATCTTCTTCTTAATTCCTGGACATCAAGCAGTCAAACTGTTTATATGATTGTAATCAGCATTTAGTCCTCTACCAAAATTGTGAAATTAATGGCCTTGGGATCAGGGGTTCTAGTGCTAGGGCGGGGCTAAATAAGTATATAGTGACAATGCATTATTTCTTTGAAAATCTTCTTCTCTACTCCTGGGTATTAAATAAACCAACTAAGTACATAGTTATGATGAGCAAGAGTGCCTCTACCAAAATTGTGAATTTTATGGCCCCAGGGTCAGGGGTTCTTGTGTTAGGATGGGTTTCTATTGATTATATATAGTTAAAACACATGATTTCTTTGAAAATCTTCTTCTCTGCCCCTGGGTATTAAATATACTAACTAAGTGCATAGTTATGATGAGCAAGAGAGCCTCTACCATAATTGTGAATTTTATGGCCCCAGGGTCAAGGGTCCTGGTGTTGGGGGGGGGGGCTCTATTGATTATATATTGAAAATACATGAATTATTTGAAAATCTTCTACTCTGCTCCTAGGTATAAAATAAACTAACTAATTGCATAGTTATGATGAGCAAGAGTGCCTCAACCATAATTGTGAATTTTATGGCCCCAGGGTCAAGGGTCCTGGTGTTGGGGGGGGGGGGGGGGGGGCTCTATTGATTATATAGTGAAAATACACGAATTCTTTGAAAATCTTCTTCTCTGCTCCTAGGTATTAAATAAACTAACTAAGTGCATAGTTATGATGAGCAAGTGTGCCTCAACCAAAATTGTGAATTTTATGGCCCCAGGGTCTGGGGTTCTGGTGTTAGGGTGGGGCTCTATAGATTATATAGTGAAAATACATGAATTCTTTGAAAATCTACTACTCTGCTCCAAGGTATTAAATAAACTGACTAAGTGCATAATTATGATGAGCAAGAGTGTTTTTACCAAAATTGTGAATTCTATGGTCCCAGGGTCAAGGGGTCTGGTGTTGGGGGAGGGGCTCTATTGATTATATATTGAAAATACATGAATTCTTTGAAAATCTTCTACTCTGCTCCTAGGAATTAAATAAACTAAGTACATAGTTGTGATGAGCACGAATGCCTCTTTTAAAACTATGAATTTTATGGCCCCAGGGTCAGGGGTTCTGGTGTTAGGGGGGCGGGGCTCTATTGATTATATAGTGAAAATACATTAAATATTTAAAAATGTTCTTCTCTGTCTCTGGGTATAAAGCAGATGAACTACCTTTATAGTTATTATCAGCAAGGGCCCTAATCTTGCAGACTTGTGAATTTCAAGGCCCCAGGGTCAGGGGGTGGGGTGGGCGCTCTACTTACATACTGAAAATGAATTTATTGTTTGAAATCTGCTCTTTTGTATTTATAAATCATTTATTTATTGATATTAAGGGTGCCTTTTTAAAATTTGTGCAATGTGTGGACCTTAAGGGTCAGGGGTTTAGGTCACAGTGTTAGGGGCACTACTGATTAGTTGGAATGCATTTTTGTTCCCCTACCCTGCGTATTCAGTAACCAAGCTAAGCAACTGCTAAGTGTATTGTTATGATGATCAATGGTGCCTCTTTCAAAATTGTGAATGTCATATACCATCTGGCTTAAAACATTAATCAAATTCAATAACTGGAAAGTTGTTGCATAATGCTCAGGTGACCTATAAGGCCTGTGGGTCTCTTGTTTTTTTTATAGAAAGAACATTACGTTTTGGCAGGGGAGAACTTCACTCTCCTCAGCCTCTTCGTCCTCATCGGTGAGTTCCTCACTATTTGAAAGTTTATGTAGAGCAATTACTGACGTGATTCCGGTGTTCAAATAAGCTTTCTGATCATCAGATGTTCATCCTTATTTAGTTCCTCTCAAAAACAAGTAACTATTTTAAAAAAGAATGATTGTAAAGCATCAAGGGATTTAACTTTGTTCGACAGTTTATAAAGGTAAACAGATCAGGCACTCAAAAATAACCTTTATTCCCAGACTTGTGTTTAAGGAACTGCCCCTTTCCTCTCTTAAATTTGTGGACCTTAATGAGGTGTTTGTCCAACCTCTTTACATAGGAATCAAACTTGGGAAAAGAACAACGTTTCAATCTACAATTAAAAGATTAATTTATAATTAGTTAAACCTTTATTATGCCCGTCTGTTTATATCTCCTCTTGCTTTTATCAACTTAAATAAAGCTGTTGCTTTCCTTTGCATTGTCGTAGACACCTGCCCACTACAAACGCTCTCTCTGTCTTCTTTTTAAGGATAAGTAATATAAATCTATAATATAGGTAATCCATGATATTCATAATGCCATGGTCATGTCTGCCTCTATTATTCTCCGGAAGTCCCTGTCCAAATTAAGTCCATGCTTGATGATTATAGCCGTCCGGATTGCCTCAGTCCGTGTAATGGAACATTGTGGATCTGATAGAAGGCCGTCTTTAAGAACCTCTTTGGGGAACTCTGGGATTGTTTCTTTAAAAATGTGTAGCAAATATTAAATGAATAAATCAAGATTTAAAAAAGGGATGACGACACTAGAGATGGGACATTATACCCAACATGTCTCCTCTTGATCCTGGGCCACAGAGATGGTAGACCTCGTCCAGGGACATCTTTTCCCTTTTACTCCGTTTTTCCAGAGGTCCAGTAAAACCCAACTGTAAGGAAATATACAGCAATTCGAGTTCTTGGTTATTATGTGCAGTAGGATATATGGCTCGTACAATTCATGTCCCAATGATTCCTTTGTTCTGTTTGAAAGTTTACCTCCTCTAGGGGAGTGCAGCCTCGAAAGAAATCCGAGTCCGGAGTCAGAGGATAGGAATCGGAGGCTGGAGCCGGAGGATTGGAATCGGAGGAATGTGCTGAAGCCAGTGGAGCCGTAGAAGTGAATTCCTTATCCGAAGGAACCCAGTCCTCATCCATGGAATCAGATGGTGTCTCCTCAAACAGTAGTCCACGCCTCTCCTCATTTTTAATTGATAATGGTAAGAGTAAAATCAAGTAGAAACCATGTGTCTAGATGGTCTGTGGTTTGTTACAATACATTATTAAAAAATATTAATTTCACATTTAAAATTGATTCTTTCTTTGCTCTGTCAATATTTATGTAAATGAATTAATTGAAACATATACATTCAACAAACAATTCAAATACAACTGTTTTTTTTCTTGATTTTCTCGCCTTACACCTATCCCTGTCTGTTATTCTTGTCTTAAGAGTCTGTTGGATGGATTCTTTTATTCCCGCCTCATTTAAACTGGAGGAAGTTTTCTTTATTATCCTGGAACACAGTGATATTATGACGGCTGTCTCTTACTCACTAAAAAGTATCCTTCCGATGGAATATAGTAAAAAAAAAAGTCTATTTACGAGTCGGGGTCAGCTTTAAGTACCAGTAATCATGAAAAAATGATTGTAAAGAATCACTGGTTAAAGGGATTTAAATTTGTTCAATAGTTCTTAAAGGTAAATATATCAGCCATTCAGAAATCACCTTTTTCTCCAGACTTGTATTTGAGGAACTGCTCCCCTCCTCTCTCAAATTTGTGGACATTAAGGAGGTGTTTGTCCAGTCTCTTTACAGAGGAGTCGTACTTGGGAACAGGACAACGTTTCAATATACATTTAATTAAAAGATTGCCTGTCTTGTTATATCCCCTCTTGCTTTAAGGAACTTCAATAACATAAAACTGTGTATTTTAACTTCAATCTTACCTTGTTGGTTGTTGCTTTCCTAAGCATGGTCGAGGATACCTGCCATCCACAATCGCTCTGTCTCTTCCTGATGAGGATAAGTAATTTAAACTTATAATATAGGAAATACATGACATTCATAAAACCATGGTCCTGGAAGGTAATTTCTGCCTCTATTATTCTCCGGAACACCCTGTCCAAATTAATTCCATGCTTGATGATTATAGCCGTCCGGATTGTCTCAGCCCGTGTGAAGGAATGGAATGCCGTCTATAAGAACCTCTTTGAGGAACTCAGGGATTGTTTCTTTAAAAATGTGTAGCAAATATAAAGTGAATAAATCAAGATTTAAAAAAGGGATGACGACACTAGAGATGGGACATTATATCCG